CTTCTGGTTTGGAAATGGCAGAAAATGCGACTTGTCTTTTTGGCCGCTGGCTGAAAGACAAATAGCGGAGGGCGCAAAATCTCACGAGTACCAAATGACTAAGCAGTTAGCCCCTGACGGAGTGTCACGTCCCACTTATTTGGAACTTGAGAGCTCGCACCAGCACAGACCGGTGCTGTGACACCAAAATAGCCAGACACCGAAATAGCAGACTTTTCGGAACGTCTAAACTAAAATCGCTTCGCGTCTACTTCCGTTTCGAACTGTTGCTAGCTAGCAAAACTGTCCAAAGGCGGCTTAATGTACCGCTGCAAATATGTTGGTCACGCTTGTACAGTGCTTGTCCAGCAGTTGTATACCAATCATATTTTAAGGCTAGATTGGGCTGGCAAGGCCGAGTCTTGACGCCCAACAGAGGTGTCCGTGCGCAGAGCCTTGCTCTTCCTAGATTAAATTGCCATAAGACTCGTCTTTTCGAAGCTAGACTTGCTTCTCATCCAACAGTCGCTCGTTTTATTACGCAGCAACATGCCGCTCATTATGAATGCCGACGGAGGCAGTCTTAATGGCCTGGCGGCACGGGCCTGCGACCTATGCCACCGGAAAGACGGCATCCTCCGATGCTCTGCCTGCCAAGCGATCTACTACTGTGGACGAGACTGCCAGACAAAGGACCGTGACATCCACAGGACGCCGTGTAAGGCGATCAAGAAGGCGCGTCTTCGCTATGAGTTCGAGGAGAAGAAGCTGCGTGACACAACGGGCGACTGGCTCAGACCCGATATCTTTGAGAACCATGTCGGGTTGTTTTGGGCAATATCCGAGACGCAGCCGCATATGCGAGCGCGCTATGAGTTGGTGGATGCGATGCTGCTGAGTTACGGTACCGCCGGTGGCCCTGCGGACGTCGCCCAGATGGCCCTGGATCATCTTTTAGACATGATGCGGCTGTGTCGCTGCGACAACATGCGCGTGCGCTTTATATTCGACTCGCAGGGACCAGGGTGCCTACGACTTTATGAAGTGGTACGCGACAACTGGTGAGGAACCGCACTACGACTAGGGCGATATGAGCCAGCCATTCCTGGACATCAAAGGTGTAGATGTGTTGGAAGCACCAGCGAAGGGATGGACGAACACCGCTTTTCTGGACCTGAGCCACGCCGTAGCCGCTGTGCTAATTAAGATGCGAGTCGTGCTGAACCTGCAGGAGATCCAGAACGCCAGAATTGCTCTCCGCGGCGCCATCCCACAGGAAATTATTGAGATTATCTGTGGCCAGTTTGCCAGCTCTATCATTGGGTCGCGGCATGAGATTCTCCTGACCAGGCCGGAAGAGACAGCACAGCTAGCCGAGACTATCAAGAGCCAGATCAGGAAAGTATATGGAGCCATTGAGACGTATAACTCACACTTCTGGGAGTTGATGGTCAAGGATCCGGATGCTGGTGTGTTACAGAGACCATTCGGGACATATACGCAGGGGTCGGGGGAGGAGGCTTTGATGGTAATCCGATACAGCAATGCTTCGTGGTATGAGATGCCGGGAGCGGTGGACTGTCGGAGTTTGAGTACGGCGGGCTGAGGTGCTGACGGGTCGAGGATCGGTGAGGGACTGCCCTACACTCCAGGAGTCGGCCCATATCCGTGTTCTCCTGGCTCTTGGCCTGCCACGCCAGCCTCACTGAGCATTAATAACTGCGGAACAGGAGAGGTTTGTAAATCTTGCTGCTGCACCAGCGTGACGACGTATGTATTAAAATGGATCGCATATTTGCCTTCTTTGAGATTCTTAACTGCCCATCACGGCGTGAGGGTTGTCGTCACGTTATGAGACTCATTGTTAACTAAGCTTATTTTTTGAATGCAAAAATTATTGTTATTTTTCTCTATCCTTCAGAAGGG